AAAAAAAAAAAAAAAGATTCCGACGAACTGATAACCTCCTCCTTTTTTGGAAGTCGGTTAAAAAATAAGACCTAAACACCGTAACCATCTGGCCGGTCAGCATATAAAAGAATTTGTTCTAATAAAACGGAGCCCAGGTATAATACAAATGAGTTTACCTAATTTAAGTTTTTTTAAATTATACAAGTACTAAATTTTTCTTATGCAAAAGGTTGTATAAACTAATAGTATTAGTTACTAAAAACTTCCAAGGTTCATTATTACACTATAGGTATAAGCAAAATAGGCCAAAATACCCATGCACGAAAAATACCACTTTTAGTACATTTATAAAAAATGCGGCAACCATAACTGAGCACGACGCACTAATACCATGACAAAATGAGACTGTGTTGGTGTGCCCAGCTATGCTCTAGATACACACAAACACTTTACACTACAAATATTTATGTATTGTTTATTCCTTAACTCAGCGCCTGTTGTTGTTATCGCTTTTGCATTTTCCGCAGCTTTCCTAGCCGCTGCATTTCCTTTACGCTTACTCCTTCCGCAATTTACGCCATTTTGATGTTTTATTACTTGGTTTCCGTAACCGCATTAAAGGCACAACATAAACCAGCTAACATGCCGACCAAGCAAGCCAGGCCAGCAAGCAATAAGGCAGGCACACCAGCAGGCAAAATAACCACGCAGCTCGCCGCACAACTGCAAAAGACAGCAAAGCGTGAAAGCGAAGTCCAGAAATGCTTTTAAGGTGGCAAGTAAGAAGAGAGCTTATGGCATTCGAAGCCTAGAACGGCAACACGAACAGCGGCAATGATATGAAAAACGTTAGTGCCACCGCTTTGCTCTAAGTCAATTCGTATATCCTGCTTCTGCTGTCACTCCATAGCCCATAAGTAATTTTGTATTAAGGCGTTCGGTGCTGTCTTAACTATGGCTTGCTGTTTGCTTTGTGCAGTGCGCGCAAGGGTGCCACCACTGCCATCCAGCGATGACGATTTAATATTGAAAAACTTACACACGTACATACTTATGTACATTAGATTGCATTACCAAAAAAAGTTGCGCTTTTTCCGCAGGGATTACAAAATTTATTATATTTTAAGACGTCCACCAAAATATTTCGGAAAAATATTAAGATTTAAGTGAGCTGGACCGATTTGAAAATACCTCCAAAAATGTAGTTTTTTATGAATAAAAATTGTTTCTTAAAGAACTTTTTGAGAAAAGTCCCCTCAGATGACAAAACGGATTAAGCTTAAAAAATCTGCATACAAATATTTAAAAATCTTTTCAACGGAATCGTAAGAATGAGATTTTTGATGCTGGTTTTTTTAGTTTTTTCAAAGATTGATTTACGAAAAACTTAAATAACTGGGCCAAAACTATTCTGATTTAGACTTATGGGATCTCAGTAGAAAAGGTATTTTCACACTATTTTTATTTCTGTCAAAAAAAGTCATTCGTGTCCCAATTTTTTTTCCAATAACAACACATCTTAATTCAACTTTGAATGACATTCGTTCATCCTACCTTTCTCTTTCATCCTTTGAATGAGTTTATTAGAAAGAAGAAATAAAAAAGGTGAGAAAATACCTTTCCAATGACAGCTCTTAAGTCTAAATTGGAAGGGTTTAGGTTCAGTCATTCAAGTTTTTCTTATACCAATCTTTGAAAAAAGTTAAAAAACAGCATCAAAAATCTCATTATTACGCTTCCGTTCAAAATTTTTTCAAATTTTTTTTAAATATTTTTATGCAAATTTTTTAAGCCTTTTTGTCATTTGAGGGGGTTTTTCAAAAAAAGGTAATCATTAAGAAACTATTTTTATTCATAAAAAGCTCCATTTTTGGAGGTATTTTCAAATCGGTCCAGCTCACGTAAATCTTAATATTTTTCCGAAATATTTTGGTCAACGTCTTAAAATATAATAGATTTTATAATTCCAATGGAAACATAGCAGCGACTTTTTTTTTGTATGGAGAGTGATGCAGTCTAATGTACATACAAGCATACAAATGCATAAGGTTGTGCTTTAAAGCATTTCTGCAAGCCATCAGCTTTTGACGCTCGGTTTATGTGTAAGCTGATTGATGCATTATGACAGTTTCTTACAGCAGTTGCTTTCTTAGTTGCGCCTTACAATGTAAATTTTATTCGTTGCCCTTATTTTTATGACCACAACGCTTTAAAGTTACTTCATAAAATATGTGTAAATCATGACTATTTTGATGAATGTCTGTCTTCATATCAGTCTATAAAAAATATGAAATGCGCATTTTCTTTTAATTAAGTGTGAGTTTTTGATGATCAGGCAGCTTGGACCTAAAAGTGGCAATATTTTTTTTTAAAACTCGACTTTAAACTTCGGCTTTCTGTGCTTTGTGTGACTTTCAATAAACATTTCCCTTATTCATAAAAAGTAAATGGATTTAGAGAGCTTTATAAAGCGGCATTCTCATATAAGTGCTCGATTTAAGAAGCATTTTTGCCGAGTCCCTTCAACCGATTATAATAATAGCAAGTTTACAGGATGCGTTACTTTAACCTGGGCATGTCATTGGAGGTAAGCGAACAATACGTGTAATGCAATGGGTAAGTGAATAAGTGTAAAATTTCGTCTTAAAACATTTTGTAATTAGTTATTCCGTCCATTTAAAAAATAAGCATTTACTTTAATTGCTATCCTTAAAATCTAACGATTATTGACCACGATTACAGTAATCGTATACCTAAAATTTAGGATTACGATAACAGTAGTCATAATCGTTAAGCTTTTAGTATTACAATTAAAGTATTCGCAATCATGCATTTCATGATTACGATTACAGTAATCGGGAAATTAATTCTGCTTAGAAAAAATATGGATTTTTATACACCAAAATGGTTCTAAGCTATGGATTCGCGTATTAGTTTGGAATTGTTTTAATATTCTAAACAGACTCGAGGTCGCAGTACTTTCAAGAAGTTTGATTTTGATTAAGAGTATCACTTCGACTATAATTAAATTTTGCAGAATTTTCGGTAAAAGTTCCGCTCATTTATCTAACTATTAAAACTCTATTGAATATCAGTAAATCGCAATCAAAATTTCCTTGATTACTGGATAATCTTTGGCGAACTTTAACTTATTGATATTAGAGTGGTATGTTAAGGTTATAAGAACTGAGATCTAGTAAGTAAGTACTGGAATAGGGTACCAATTTTGTTTAACTAAATTTTCAGATAGTCTGGATTGTAAATAGAAAAGTGGTTTCTCAATTTTCCCAGTTTGGAGATTTTAAGCATTTTGACGTAGAATACGTCTTACGTTTCACTATGGTGGCTATGCTGAAATGTTGCGGTTGTAATTTTTAGAGCTTTACGAAAACGCTTATTGCACGAAAACTAATAGAGCGTTTTGAAAGAAACGTGTGGCGTTTCAAAGCAAAAATTCCAAGCCTTTCGACAAAATTCATTTTTGTAAGTAACCAATTCTTATTTTGGGGTAAATTTTGAGCCTTTAAAGTGCTCTAGCAACTTACGATTTGAAGATTTAACTTTCATTTTCGTGACATAGGTTCCTTGGAGCAATAGAAATATGATCGTGTACAAATTATATATAAGTTAAACAAATATTAAACATTTTAATGCAAAAAAATTGTTGAAAAAATTAGCAAACTTTCTTTATTTCCAAAATGCTCGAAAACCGCTTGAATGATTTTGTTTTTGTTTTCTTTAATCAAAAATGCAAGATTTTTCCTTTCATCGGGTATATGGGCAGTATTGGTTGATATCCTCTAAGTATGTTTACTTTATTCAAATATATGAGCATAAATGATAAATATNGCAGTATTGGTTGATATCCTCTAAGTATGTTTACTTTATTCAAATATATGGGCATAAATGATAAATATGGACGGACAGACGGACGGACGGACAGACAGTCACCGCTTAATCGATTTCTTTTTTAATTGTAATCATTTATGTATACATTTGTCTATATCTAGCTCGATTCGTTTTGCCTGTTACAAACAACCGTTATGTGAACAAAGTTATAATACCCTTGTGTACAAGTGCGCTCGGGTATAAAAATGGCGAAGAAATGTTCTTGTTTCAAATTTCCTTAAGGTACATAGTTCGCAGCTCATAAGAGCACAAGGCGACCCATTTTTGCAACAGAGATACATATATGCCTGTTTCATTATTTCGCTAAGAATAACTGGGATAGCAGGCGGTGAAACATCAGATGTCTAAATACCTTGGACACTACTAGTCCCACTCACGAAATAATAGCAATTACTTATTTTATTGATCGCCTTCTTAAGAGCTGGATACCAAGCTTAATTTGGTAAAAATTTATGCACATTTTAATTAGAACTTTTGTTCGCCATTAAATAAACTTAGCTCACAAGTGCATGTCGGTTCTTCTCAACTAAAAAGGGGGTTAATTTGTCAGCAGTATCCGGCACATGGCCTTTGCCTCTTCCACAAATCAACCAGCATTTAAAAATGCCTACACACAAACATGCATAAAAATTCAATTACACATTGGCATTTCGGTGCAGAATGCTTACCTCTTTTGCAGAAATTTTCGCTTAAAATCTCTAAAAGCTCCTGTGCCGCCAGCACCATCATTTTCATTTGCATAACGGACACGTGACTGCTGCTGTAATAAATGCCGATTCGTCACACCGAAATCCATCTGCACATCAACCACCAACAGCAGTGTCAGCAGTATCAGTGTTGCTCCCAAACTAATTGCGAGGCGATCTTTCAGCTTCATGCTGCGCAGCAATGCCATTACGTCGACTCGTCGTCGTTTTGGAATGTTCTCGACGGAAATTGTAGTGGGTGACGTTGAACGCCTACGTGTATGCAACCTAGCGTTGGCTGGCTTCTTAGTATTGCTATCGCATGCGCCTAACTGCACGGCAACATAATCGCCAAATCTGGTTAGGCCAATTCCGTGTAACAGTGAAAGATACCAAAATTGTTGGGTTGCCTTTTGTCCTTCAGTGCCAACGGTGGTTGATGTAATCCCAGATGGCTTTTCTGTCACAGTTACTGTGGAATTCGCTTGGCCGCTTTTGTTATTATTGCGCCTGCGCACTAATATACGCCGTTGTCGGACCGATTTGGTATAACAATCTGCCGGAGAAGATGTTGCCTCAGTTGCGTCGAATGTTGCAACGTCTGCACTTTGTTGACTTGACTTACTATGATGTAGTTCTGTGTTGTAGTTGTTATTGTTGCTATTAGCAAGTTTAGCTACAAAGAGTGATGGACTCTGATGCGCTGCTGGAGTGTATATTTCCGCAGTGGTTGTTAATTCAGCGTGCCTGACTGCCGAAGGCCTATTGGCACTACTAGAATTATGGTTGCAGTTGTAAAGCTGATTGTTGTTGCTGTGGCAATCGCTTGTACTGCTATAATGTTGGTAATACCCTTCTGGCGTCGATAATTCGTCCTCGGCCGATTTGGACTGTCGTCGCCCTTGTTGCTGTTGCTTGTGTCGAAATTTTGTTAAACGCTCAGCTAGCGAAGCTTGCGATGCCCTCCAATCTGTCGATGTATAACCGAATTTCGCAAGGTTGTTATTTCTGTTGCTATTGCAAGTAGCTAAGTTTGTATTTTGCAAAGATTTTGCAGTTGCAGAGCTGAAAAAATATTAAGAAAATTTTGTGAGTTGGCTTTAAAACGTTTAAAAGACAATGCAATAAACATTAGGAGAATGCATGCAATTAACATTAAATGCGGCATAAAATAAGACAAAGTCTGTGCTAAAAAAATTATGCAACAACCAATTGAATTTGAAGGCAAGAAGTAAAGAATTTCAAATTGTATAAATAAAAAAATTAACAAATTAAATTCACACATTAAATAAATAATAAATAAATATAATTGATTAAATTTTATTGGATATTTGTTATTGATTTACATATTTCGAGGTGTATGCTGAACCTCTTAGGAAGTGTTCTGTAGTTTGCAGGTTGGAAAAGGGGGTTGTATACAAGCGATTAACGTCGAAGGGAGGCAATAGGCAAAGTAATACTTANTTTTATTGGATATTTGTTATTGATTTACATATTTCGAGGTGTATGCTGAATCTCTTAGGAAGTGTTCTGTAGTTTGCAGGTTGGAAAAGGGGGTTGTATACAAGCGATTAACGTCGAAGGGAGGCAATAGGCAAAGTAATACTTGGCAGGAGGATGGAGTAGGGGGGAAGAGGGGTAAGTCTTTAGTGGGCTCAGCCGAAAGATGAGTTCTACAATTTTCAACTTCAAAAAGGGTCTGCTGCATAGAAAAAAAGTTGGCAACATATAGCGGACATCTTGTCTTGATGGATTCTATTGCTTAATCTGATGTTAAATCACCATAAAAACACAATTGAGTTGCATGCCCAAAAGTTAAAAACTTATTATCAAAGCGAGTACGCATTAGTGTAAGTTGTAGTGTTCCCTAAAAAATTTCTTTAAGACGAAGCGCATTTTTGGATGTTAATATGTACCTTTACTTCATAGGCTGATAAGGTCTCTTGTGTATCACCCGGTGACTTCAGGTCGATCAGTGTATCCTCGTTTCTTTTGAAGACGCTGGAGAGGCTGATTGTTCTGCACCTAAGCAAGGGGGCTCTTAGAGAGCGTCTATGGTTTAATCAGAATGCATACTGCAAGGGTAGATTCGTGGAAACGGCCCTACACACGGTCGTTGATAGTATTGAGCAGACTTTTTCGCAGAAGGAATACGCGGTTGGTGCCTTCCTTGATATCGAGGGGGCTTTTAATAACGTCTTTCCTGCGGCTATTGTAAACTCCCTAAGAAGGCTGGAAGTCGGAGACGACCTTGTAAGGTTTATTTACCGCTTTCTTGCCAAAATGCGGAGTTAGTGTCCTTCCTTTGGGTGCTGGGTTACTGTAGTCGATGACCTGTTGGTAGCTCTGGAGTGAAGTGGCTTCCGGGTTGTTGCCTCTGCGGACGATGTAGCATTGCTAACAAGGGGAAAGTTTCTGGGAACAATGTTTCATCTTATGCAGGATTACCTGAATTGGTTGAGGACTTGCCGTCTGCCCTCAATGGCTGGTCTCCCAATAAGACTTCCTGACAGAGCGAAGTACTTGGTGGGATCCTTTGCAGTAAGCTTTTCTGGAAGCCCAACGTAAAGGAAAGGTCAAGAGGCCAACAGTAGCCTTATATTTTTGTACAGGGGCTACTGGCAATCACTGGGGTCTCTCACTGAATGTAGTTCATTGGCTTTACAAAACTACAACTAAGCCAGTTTTATATTATAGAGTTCTCGTCGGGTGGCGCGCCCTAGACTTGACCTTCGTCGTCAACTGGAATCAGTGGAGCACTTCTAACCACTCCTACTCTCGCGCTGAATGCTACGCTAAACGTGGCGCCCATAGATAAAGCAGGCAGAGATGCCGCTGCTCGCATCGCAGTAAAGCTAAGTGGGGTGGGCTTTAATTTCGATTCGGCTATGGGCACGCCAGTATCCTAAAAAGCTTCGAGTTCCTACCAGCTCGAATAGATCACTGCACGCCAAGTTTCCGTCCAAGGGGATATTTTACCCTCCATATCCCAGCGAGGGAGGACTGGAGTCTGGAATCGAGGTCCTGTAAATGTATTAACGGATGGGTATAAGCTCAATGAGAAGGTTCTGCGAAGAACAGAGGTAGCCACAATACAGGAGGCTTCGAGTTAGTGTTCACTATTGTAACGCCTTCAAAGGAGGTCAATATCTATTCCGACAGCCAAGGATCTTGACTTTCTGATGGTTCGTTCGAAAACGGTGAAGGACTGCCTGACCTCCCTATCGACCGCATCTGATGTAAGGGGCCCCTGGTACCAAGCTCATTTGTGTTCTGGCACAGGTTCGAGTTCGCCTGGAGGAGCCGAGAATATCTGAAATGATACATCAGCGCTGGTTGTTATCGGATATTTCGGTCTCAGCAGCAGCGAGTGTAAAGTTACGGTGTTGACTTCGAATAAGTTTTAATATTTCGAATTTTTTCAAGGTTATCCTAAAGACAATCCAAAGCATCATAGTTCACTATATTATTTCAACGAGATCGCTGCTTTAAATTCACCAGCTTCCTACATTGAATAGAGAAATATCACAAAGCATTCATGGTTCTAATCTCACTTAAGCGGCTTGAGTGCAATGTTAGTGTACTTTCGCCCAATTTGAATGCATTCTCGTTCTCGAACTCATTAATCTTGAGGCGCCATCAACGACCACACACTATTGAAGCGACGTATGTACATGCTATGCTGTTCATTTGCACTTCCTATCGCCTGACACATTGTCGTCGACAGTCTCATCATCTAGTGGTTGTTATGCGGAATGATTGTCGTTCGTCCTGCAAAAAGTTTACATATTCACACTATTGCGTGTACATGTACGATAGCGTGGGCCGAAAATCGGCTTTTATAGAATTTTCATTGGTAATAGCAAAAATATGGTTCATTATGCTCTAAAAACAATCTGTGTGGAAGATGAAAATTTTTGGTCAATATCTTCTATGTTCTATGAATACCATGAGTACACGGAAACCACGGCTATACTAATAAATATTTTGAGATGCGTTTTTTTGTGTTCGCAAAGCTCGAGATCGGATGTACAGATTTTTTTGAAATTTTGGTCATAGGTTCTGGATGGGCTTCTAATTATCTTAGGCAAACAAAAAGCTAAAATACTTCTTAAAAATGGAACTGCAAGACTTTAACCTTTGTGTCAATACGACATACCCGGGTATGTTTTGAGTTTTTCAAAAGCACATATGCATTTTCCCTATTACTGCTAAGAACTCAGTCTACAGGTATCTGAATACATATTAAATAGCTATAAATTGCAACAAAAAAACACTTTATTTGTTTCTGTTTTAAAAGCGTTTTGTGGCATTAACACTATCTTGATTCCCTGATGAATTTTTCGATATCATCTATAGTAGATCCTGATAAATCTACAAGTATTTTATAATTTCAATTGCATAAATGTAGAGTTAAGTCTCGTAAAAAAACTATCAGACTTGGTTTCCAAAAATTTTCATTTTTACACATTCATGTTTCTGGCATACGGGCGACGATATGTACGTACTTACGTACTTAGAAACTTGTGGCTGTGTTTTTTTTTTTTTATCTACATATAAAAAAGAAATGCGAGGAATCACCTCAGGCAACTGCATTTGGGGTAGATTTGTCGCATGCTTAAATTAACTAGATACCTCCAGCAAATAAAATTTCATTTACACTAAATCACCGACAATTTCACGTTCAGCATTTTCCTTTCCGATTGTAGTCCACTTAGGTCTCTTTTTATACGGTATATACATTTCGTTGCATTCGTACAAAAACGGGCGATGCGTTCAAGCAATTTCCAAAAACCGTATAAATTCAGAAGCTTTATACAAAAAGTCACATAAAAAAACATATAAAAAATCCAGTGAGGTAATACTAATAGAAAAACAACCCAAAATATTAATAATTACCTTTCAAAAAGCAAAGATAAATCTTTAAATTAAATTTTATAAAACAATTTGCTGCTACTTTCCGTAGCACCTTGACCTACTTAACACGGTACTGGTATAAAATCAAAGCGTTTCCGATGGATCTTAAGTTCTAAAATCTGTAGGTGCCACCTTTTTCTTACCCTCACATTAGTTACTTCTACATTATACCAGCCCATTGACAAAATCAGAAACCAAAGTAAATTCTTCTAATAGCTCCCGTGGATTAAATTTTAAGACAATACTACGTAATATATTTTTTACGTTTTTTTTCAATTCGGGAACCCTAATTAAAAAATTTTAAGACTTTTTGCTACATTTTAAATTTTTTACTAATGGGCAATTCCATTGTGACTGGTGGGACATTTTACTCCATGTGATCAATTCTAAATTTTAACTATGTCTTTGGAACTTATACAGCAGCGAAATATATTTTTTAACAAAGAACGATAACCAACGTATAAAATTTGCTTTAACCAAAATGCCAAACTGTTTGTTAGTTTTATGTAGCTATCATTTGATTGAATGTGACTGGTGGGACACTGAAAAGAATTCTATTTTACGCTTGTGCACTCAAAGTAAAATTTTAGCAAAAAAAAAACTTAATTTTCACGAACGATGTTTTTGTGTTCTCAAAATATCAATTATACACTGAGGGGAAAAAATATTAATTTCAAATAGAAACGTTATTGATTGTACTATAAACGTACTAAAGTACTGTAAATATTCAATTCAATTACGCGCATATTAAAATGACCGCGTTCATTATGAAAAAGCATCCGTAAAGTGAATAAGCAAGACAAAAATTAAAAAAAAAAATATTTAATTTGCATGTTGTCTGCAGTGGAATTTGACCTTTCATTATTATTTTTAAATTACAATTCTGAAAAACGTCGGGATGCGCGGGTTCGGGACGTAAAATTTAATTTCGGGAAGAGCGGGATTGGGATCGAATATTTGGTCCCGTGCCCATCGCTAATTCGAACCGTGACCATCTCTGCATATCAACAAATTGTGGTAAGCATCTTTGCGCACTCAGCTACACCCGGCCATATAAATTTGCTTTCAAATGTTGAATTTCCATCAACACCTCAGCACGCGATTTGCGCGGATATACATGTACTATGTATGTATGTGTGTGTTGTCGCTCAGTAGAAATTTTACAAGATACATATGTATCCCCATATGTAAATCCTACTTTTCTGATACATTTTAATATACGGTGACATACAAACAAGTAGCATTTACATATGCAAATGCATATCTTGTAAAAGCCTGCTAGTGCTGAAAATATTATCACACAACACATCCGTTCACTAAAATTTTTGTACAAGACTGAAAATATTACAAAAATTCCACTTCAAATTTATCAAGAAGTGTACTTAAAACAACAACAACGTACGTTCGCTTGCAATTGGCTAGAATTGGATTTATTTGTGGAAATACATGACTACGCATGAATTGTTCACACTAATTCACTCATACAGCATGCATACTTCATAAATGTGTACAACCGATTTCTACGTTCGAAAAAGATGATGTCATTTGAAAGCAACAATTGTATTTTATTTGCTCAAGCTTAACATTTGAAAGCATGCATGCGTAAGTCGCAGTATCTGAGCGTGTAGAGGAGTGCGCCGCTATTTGTTAACTTCCAGAAGGTGCCGAATTCCATCAGACGCTGCCTAATTTTATTTCTTTCGAACCACGAAAAAGTATCTCTGAAGTGCAGAAGGAAGGCGTATTTAATGAAAAATTCAATCAGACAAATTTCAAAAAAGAAAACAGCCGAAAACGTAACCCTTTCAAATACTGTTGTCTGTAACAACGTACGTTACTGCCGCACACTTAAGTGGGAAAACGGATCGTCAAAGTATCCGAAAATGGAATATCAGTAAACGGACAAAAATCCGCACTTCATCAATTCACTTCAAGAGATTGGTTTTCCAATAATTTTCGAATATCTAACCAAGCCCAATGTTTATTGGGTAATACATTTTTGTATGAAAATATTATTTTTAAATACGAACATTTTTATACGATAATCAAATATAAAGTATTCATTTGAACTATGTATTATTTCCCTCAGTGTACGCTTTCGTTTTCAATAAAAATATGATTTATACAATCTTTATAGAAAAATTAAAAAGTATTTCAAAGTTGGTGTAAAGTGATTATTGATGAAATAAAAGTTTCCATACACAAAAATTACAACTTCTTTTTTTATTTTTTAATATTTTTCAACAGAATAATGAAATTTAGTCATTTAAAACGAGGCTGTTAATGAAATAGAGATAATTAGGGCATATTTAAATTTTTGTCGTTTTCCTATTTTACGTGGAATGATCCTAATATAATCGGTTTCTGCAAAACAAAAAGTGGCAGCCACAAGAGCTTGCCTTCCTTCGGTCTTCCTACTCATTTGTCTTCGTTATATGTATGTAGCTTCCCGATAAATTAATCGCCTCTTCACGGATAGTGAAGAAGTATATTTGTCACGAAAAATGTGCACAACACCCCTAATACTTTTACTTAGTACGTGATTTCAGCAGAGAAGTGTCAATGATTATTTATTTAGCATTTGTTCATAAAACAGAGATTTCACCTGAAAATTCGCATTCCGTTAGTGTGTTTAACAGCTCATGCATTTCAGTTTTTTTTAACTAATTTGAAATAATTTTCCCTTACTGAAAGTTTTCTGACACCATAACAGCATTTGGCTTCCATGCCATTTTAACACGAAAAAGAATTGCTTGAATTAATTGCATTCCTCAAAACTCAACATAAAAAATGTTAATTTGCCAATTTTCCACCAGCACATTTACCTTAGATGCTGCATTTCGCCTGAACCAACTTCATATTCATTGCAGCCACTCCCACTCCAATTCTGTTGTTGCACATTGTACACCGAATTATGCAGCTGCTGTGGCTTTTGCTGCCACCGCAATTCGTCAAGCGCAGTAAAATTATTTGTACAGCTATTATTGTTGCTTTGCGTCGGTTCATCTGCTGTTGCGACCGATACTCGTGGTTTAGCTGTCGCATTCACAACTCTTCCCAAACCGTTAGCAATTTTCATGTTTATGTCCTTTTCAGACATCCAACGTTCGTTTGTGGTATGCACACCTACACCCAAACGGTCCACGCTTTGCCCACGCTTTCGTTTCACAAGCGGTGTTTTGAAAAGCGCTGAAATGTGGCTAGCATTATAGGTAGGAGTTTGCCCCCGCCGTTGTGCAGACTGCAATTCCGGCTTTAACAGCCGTTGTGGTGAATCTGATGTTGCTATTTTTCCAACGTCGCTTTGTGACAACTTATGTGACTGCCACAGGACATTGCATGCTGCAGCCTCATAACTTTCATTGAAATCAGCCGTTGGCCCGATGACCTCTTCTTTCCCAGAAGGCACCTTCTGGTTGGTCCAACTGCCATCGTCATCGATTCGTGTCCAGTCATTGTCAGCAACTACTGAATTGCATCTCACTTTACCAGACACATACTCGGCTGCGGGACTATCCTGCAACTCCTTTGGTGTCCAGCTATATCTGACATTTGTTCGATTCTCAGTGGTTGGTGTTATATTCGCAATCATTGCTACTGAATTGGCGCGTTTTGTTTCACCCAAGTCTGACTGATCCCGTCGCTGCCACCAATCGCTGTGTGCACTTAAAGGTGTTGCAGCGGTTCGTGACGTGGTATATGAGTTGGCGGTTTGATTTCCTGCACTGTGCTCATACTTCGCATGCCACAAATCATCCTCCTCTTCCTCAGGTTCAGAAGAAGCCACTGTAAAATCATCAACGAAGTCCAAGTCAAATCCTCTATCTATTTCTTCTTCTTCCGCTTCACCACCATTGCTGCCATGCCAGTTTCCAAAGTTAGTCCCATAGTGCTCGTTATAGTCTTTTGTTTTTTGACTTACATTGCTTTCTAACCATTCAACATTGTTAATTTTGCTATTTTTATTGCTGTAACTGTTGCTGTAGTAACTTTGCATTTCTTGTTCGCTTTCTTTCCATTTCGATTGATTGCTTGACAGCGCCAATTGATTTGTGTCCACAACACTTTTACCCAATTGTCGCTGGCTCATTGGGGAATTTCCTTCGAGTCGCCTGTGTTCACCTCCCGACACACTACTGCTTCTTATACTCCAGCGCCGTATGCGACTCTCGCCACGTCTCGAACGCATATTGCCGCTGTCGTAATCAGCGTTGACAGCAGTTGAGGTAGCTGCTTTGACATGGGCAGCACCACTGGCAAGTTGTCCGTTGCTTTGTTTCCAAAGCTGGTTGCGTGACCACCTGCCACTGCCTGCAGCAGTGTCGAAAGGAGTATCATGAACTTCATTGTTATCAGTGTGAACATTATTATCATCATAGCTGTCGCAGTTTGAAACATCCTTCTGGCTGATGTGCAGTGCTGTGGTACTGTTGTAGTTAAATTTCGCAACTCCTTCTTCACTATAGCCACGTTGCAACTTTGTGGCCTTTGTTGCTTTTTTGCTCGCTTGAAAAAGTTTTCGTAAATTTTCGTTTCGTTTTGCTGTGGCATCGTCCAAACTATTTCCGCCATTTTGGTTAACCTAAATGTTTATATTACATGATTTCTTTGAGTTTATTTCAAATTGCAACAGGAAATTCATTTGTGTTTGTATTAATGTATGAAAGTATTTCTCTTTTAAAATTTGTTAGTTTGCTTGAAACGAAACTAGCAAATGTATCTATCCAACCGTAAGTAAATCAGACAAAAACACAAGGCAAAATATTCTTGTTAATTTCAGTTAGTTTAACAAAGAGAAATTTCGTAAGCACCAACATTTGCAAAATTCAATGGTAGTTAAATCTGTTTTTGGTTTTGGATTTATTTGTAATGGAAGAAAAAATCGAACTCTCCTAAAAAAATTTGAAAATANTGTATTAATGTATGAAAGTATTTCTCTTTTAAAATTTGTTAGTTTGCTTGGAACGAAACTAGCAAATGTATCTATCCAACCGTAAGTAAATCAGACAAAAACACAAAGCAAAAAATTCTTGTTAATTTCAGTTAGTTTAACAAAGAGAAATTTCGTAAGCACCAACATTTGCAAATTTCAATGGTAGTGAAATCTGTTTTTGGTTTTGGATTTATTTGTAATGGAAGAAAAAATCTAACTCTCCTAAAAAAATTTGAAAATGGCAAATAGCTTACATCGGCAAAAATGTAGCTTTCGATATTTTACTAACTCAACATTAGGTTAATTTTAAGCATACAATTGATTCAAAGTTTTCTTTTCTGTAATTTTTGGCCATTAAACTTTGCATATCGATGGTCCTCTGCAATAACGACACAACTCAAAAGTCCATATATTTCAGTAGAGCAAATTAAAATTTTGTGGTTCTTAATTTAGCAATAACGTGCCTTAGAACATAATTATTCCGGATTATTTTCAGTTATTCTGTAGGGAACATTTTCAAGCTTTCAAATTAACATTTTATCTAAAGATTTAGTAAGTGTTGGACTACAAAATATGAAATACGTAACAACTCCTAAGTAGTTAAACGAATAAAACACCATTTGCATTGCTAAACCACGGCACAAATTCGATATGTATATTAGGGTGAAGCGAAAAAAATTTATTTTTCGATTTGGAAACTCTAATAGTGCGGAAAAGTCATCGCACATGATCACATCTCCCCGTGTTAAATCTGTTTCCGATCGGATAATATTTACGGTCGCCCCAGGGCCTTACAATTTCGAAATATCTGTCAAATAATGGTTTTTTATATATTTTTTTAAAGATTCCCTAGAAAGTGTTTGAGTATGCAGTTTTATAGCCCAATAATTTTTAGTACAATAAAGTGCAAGTTTTAACTTGCTAAAGAATCGCGTAGATTTTTTTCTTTGCTGACAGTGTCTCGTGTTTATACCCGGACGCACTTGTTTGGTTTGGTTGTATGTAGCAGCCAAAATGAATTAAAATAGATATAAACAAATGTATACATAAATGATCACAATGAAAAAAGAAATCGTTTAAGTGGTGACTGTATCCCCGACCATCCGTCCGCCTGTACACACGATAACTCTAGAAAAAATGTACATATCTAAAAGAAACATGTGTACTTCTTTCTAGCGTAGGACAGATGCTATTGAAAATGGGCAAAATCGTACAATAACCGCGCCTACCTCCCACATATAGGTAATTTTCAGAAATCCGCAAACTGCGATATTTTAGTAACTACTGATGCTTATTCACACAAAATTGATATTTACAATGATTCTTAGACTACAAACAAGAATATTATAACTTTTTGGAAAATGCGCGTAGCCACGCCCACTTATGATTACATGTGTATATCTTGTTAACCGCTCCACCAACTTGATCGAAATTTGGCACAGTTGTTGGTCATAACAAATCATTCCAAACGGCTGAAAACTTTTAAAATCGGACAATAACGGTAATTTGGAGAAATATAAAATCTTCGATAAATCAGTAAATACTGAAATTAATTCATTAGAATTGATATTTGCAATAATTCTTTACCAAAAAATACGTATACGACACACACACAGAGGCTGTGGTGGATAATTTCAAAACTAATTTTGTATATAATCTACGACCGGGTGTGTTCATGCCATCCAACAGACGTATGTACATTACATCACGTCAAAAAAAAGTAAAAATTCTGCAATGCGACCGGAATAAGACTCAAATTTTAGCATTTGGTATAGTAATGATCCTCCACGAATCCCTAATAAATCCGATAAGATCCAACAGTTCCACCTTCGCCATCTCGCCCAGACGAATGAAGAAGCGTGAACCCAAGCGCTTGAGGCACTTCTCCTGTAGACCTAGACATCGACACAGAAACTGGTCAATTGACTCTTCCTCATCCCCATAATGGGGCAGTCTTTGCAAAGAGTACTTGTTGATATTCGCCACCGTTGAAGCATTGGTGCTATAGTACTGTGTCCTGTGATGCAGCCGGCAAGGACTATTACTGCAGATCTATTGAGTTTCAATATGTCTCTTGTCTTTTTCCTACTAAGCCGCAGCCGTAGTAATCGCACAGTCTTCCTGTTTGTTCCACAAGTAATTAGTCGCAGCCACATTGCATTTATCAGTTTTCCTAATGCTTCTTTTCTTGGCTTCTCTGAGCCGCATCTGGCCATCTCGTCAGCCGACTTATTCCCTTCAATATCGCTATGTCCGGGGACCTAGCATAGAGTGACGTTAAAATTGTTCAGTGCCGCCAGCGTGGTACGACATTTCTGTGCAATTCCTGATTTCACTATTTTAGATACCATTGCCTTCAGCGCTGCTAGACTGCGTATTGGAGAGATTGGAGTTAAATATTTAGAGACGCGCCTATCTCTAATAAGTGCATTTATGATTTTATTAACATAAAAGGAGTCTAAAAATTTGGAACTTTTTGGCACCTTTAATTTTTTATGTCGCAATTTTTTTATTGTCAAAATGGCGCGTCATATCTAAAGATAGTTGGCAGCCCAGATCACGAACTTTTTTCATACGGTCACCGAGCCTGTCTAATGAACTACTAACTTAAATTATATAATTCATTTTATCGTATTTTAGATCTCTTTTATATTATTTTAATTAGCTTTGAAACTGTTACTTACACATACATATATGTATGTATAAAAACAAAGAAATGTAAGATAGCATGCAGTAATTAATTATATCAACTTTTTCAAAACCAAATTCGCAAAAAACTCAAACGAAACTCATAACAAATAATCAACTAAGTAACAAAAAAAAAACAACTGAAATAAAATGCGTGAAATTAAAATAGAAGGAAATTGTAATGTATGTAAATCAAATTCTGGACATCAGATTGATTACATGCTGAGCATGCTTGGAACTGCAATCTGTGTTTGGGCGCTGGGCGGGAGCGTTTATTACTTGCTTTTCGTTATATGTAGGTATGTAGAAAGAAATCCCAAAAAGGTCTGCGCAAAGCCAAAAGCAACTAAGTTTTACTTACATGGGACCGCTGTGCAGCCATTATAACGTGAATGGAATGCACAGCAGTGCGGTAGAGACAACGACAAGTAAGTATGGGATCCGGCGGGAGGCGAACTAGCAGCAGTCGGATGGCGGTCTAATAGAGCTAGTGGGTGAGTATTGGAGAGAGCGCGCAGATTACTTTTGTGCGATAAAAAAGCACAAAGCAAACTGGATGAATGTATATATAAAAGCGGAAATTGCTAGTTGCTGTAACGCAGAGAGACTTAGTGCACGCGTATTTATTACTTTTTTTCTATTTTATGGCAGTTATACNGTGGGTGAGTATTGGAGAGAGCGCGCAGATTACTTTTGTGCGATAAAAAAAGCACAAAGCAAACTGGATGTATGTATATATAAAAGCGGAAATTGCTAGTTGCTGTAACGCAGAGAGACTTAGTGCACGCGTATTTATTACTTTTTTTTTCTATTTTATGGCAGTTATACTTTCTTTCGTTCGCTTTTAGTTTTATTTTATTTTTATTTTTTTTTTGCTTTTTATGCGGGAGGAGATTTATGCCAGGCTGTGAGTACAAAAAAAGGGGAGAAAGGAAAGTAAAAATAAATTAAAATAACCTTTTATACGTTAAAATAAAGAGTAAATTTATAAATAACATAACGTACAAATTGAAATGAAGGGCAGAACATGGTTGTGTAGTGTTATTATATGAAATTGCAAATACACACATATGTACATATATACATACATATGAATACGAAGCAGACAAATGCATTCACACCGATTTTGCTACTACGAATGAAGCGATTGCGGAAATGTACTTATGTACATACATACACACAATCATATGCGAATACTCAATCGCCTATATCTATACAAACATACAAATCCCTGCAGGGAAATCGCGAACTAGTGAATGAAATTTCTAGTTCCACTAGATCTTTATCGCAAAAAACGAAGCAAGCCGATAGTAACTAGACCTCGACCAGTTCAAATTCAGCGAAATGTGTTGCATTTAAGAAACTATTTTATTTCACTGCGGAACGAACTAGATTTTATCTGTAAAATTTAGAACAGAAATTTACATAGATATGTGTTTGGCGGCTTTTTCGTTCAAATACGCTTTCACTATGCNTTTTTTTTTTGCTTTTTATGCGGGAGGAGATTTATGCCAGGCTATGAGTACANTGGATGTATGTATATATAAAAGCGGAAATTGCTAGTTGCTGTAACGCAGAGAGACTTAGTGCACGCGTATTTATTACTTTTTTTTTCTATTTTATGGCAGTTATACTTTCTTTCGTTCGCTTTTAGTTTTATTTTATTTTTATTTTTTTTTTGCTTTTTATGCGGGAGGAGATTTATGCCAGGCTGTGAGTACAAAAAAAGGGGAGAAAGGAAAGTAAAAATAAATTAAAATAACCTTTTATACGTTAAAATAAAGAGTAAATTTATAAATAACATAACGTACAAATTGAAATGAAGGGCAGAACATGGTTGTGTAGTGTTATTATATGAAATTGCAAATACACACATATGTACATATATACATACATATGAATACGAAGCAGACAAATGCATTCACACCGATTTTGCTACTACGAATGAAGCGATTGCGGAAATGTACTTATGTACATACATACACACAATCATATGCGAATACTCAATCGCCTATATCTATACAAACATACAAATCCCTGCAGGGAAATCGCGAACTAGTGAATGAAATTTCTAGTTCCACTAGATCTTTATCGCAAAAAACGAAGCAAGCCGATAGTAACTAGACCTCGACCAGTTCAAATTCAGCGAAATGTGTTGCATTTAAGAAACTATTTTATTTCACTGCGGAACGAACTAGATTTTATCTGTAAAATTTAGAACAGAAATTTACATAGATATGTGTTTGGCGGCTTTTTCGTTCAAATACGCTTTCACTATGCACTTCACAGATGCATTTTCATAGCTAGCGCCTCTGCAAACTCAACTACAGCCAAATGTATGTAAACGTACATTTCTTACAATCATTAAATTAAATTTAATTTCAATTGGAAACACATTTCTTTGAAAATTATTTAAAATCGCACACACGTTAAAACCAAAACGATTGAAAAGTCATGATACTTTTTTCTTTCATCTGTCTGATTCGGAACTATAGAGTTTAGGACTAGCTCGGAACTATCGAAAAAGGTATGCAGCGAAGGGGAATTGACACTTCCTAGGACATCGGCATGTTCAATTCGCCAGTTGTTTGCATGCAAAAGAGATTTATCGCGAACCAGTATTGGGTCTAAATGTACTAGAAGCGCACTAGCTCAGAATTAGAGATTTTCCCCACAGGGAATAGACTAAACTAAGTATATGTGTAAATAAATCAAAGGAAATATGGTGCACTGGTCGGAGGTGGTATCTGTCTCTGACATTAATATGATTTTAAATGTTACATAAAATAAATTATATGGGCAAATCTAAAAAATAGGTACATTTCCAAAAAAATATGTAATTTTTTGTTTAATTTGTGGGCAAACCCTACCATGTGGCCTATACGATTTTATTCGCAATCATATAATAAATCGATAAATTTTAGTGTAATTCATTTTCATCAAGTGCTTCAAAAGTAAGACGAGGAAAAAACATTTTGATCGCTCAAATAGAATAATTTGGTTTAAATATTTTTATTGAGCTTTTTACCACGATTATTTTATTAGGCAAAATGGTAAAAATTATAGCAGCAATTTCGGAGATCACCAAATCTCCTCATCAGACTTCCTTTTCTAGACTTCATCAGGGATCGAACCCGCGTCATCGATGTACAAAGTCACTATTAGGCCAAAAAAAAAAAATAAACAATCGATTCAAAATTCATACAAAATTTTTTTAATTTTACTTTATATGATGGTTCTTCCGAGAGCAATGTTAAATTCAATCACACTTTGTTGAATACATTTTGACTGCTATCAAGTGTAGCTGACAAATATTTAGAATAATTTGGGTTCAAATTATGCTGAGGAAATTGTAAATTTGAGAAAAGATTTTGATAGTTGAGCTCACTCAATTGGGACCTTCTAAATTCAAAAACGTCTCCCGTTTTGCCAGATTGGTTGAAGTTTTCGAGATAACGGTACTTGAAATTTTTGATAAAATTTTAATTATTTTATAAATAGCCCCCTCAATTTTAAAGTTATTTTACTAGAATTTTGCACATGAATATTTTCTAAGATTTTCTTAACTAATCCTGAAAATTATTGAATAAGGCTCACTGTAACATATAAGCTATCCGCAATAAAATCTGCGTTCTAACTTTAGTCTTAGGGGTTTTGTCACCTTAATGAAAAATCTTGCTGTACAAATATTATTTCTGGATAGGTATTCTACCGGAATCCGCAATAAAATTTAGATTTTTGTAAAAAACCGATTTTAATACATTGCTAAATATAGCTCTCTATATCTATATAACTCTCAAAAAATAAATCATCTCGTTACAAAAAAAAAAAAAAAAATATTTTAAAGATAGTCAATTTTTTGGACCATGTTTTTTATAGAGAATTAAATGAGGATTACCATAGTATAATATTATACCCTTAATTTACTGGTCTTTACTATGCAAATCAACTTCAAAAAGTTCAACTGTTAATAGCTAAGTTAGCGTTGAGACAATTATGACCATCTTATATAAAGAAATCTGAAGCCCGTTTCTTTAACTTTAAAACGACGTTAAGATGATATCTCTACGATGAGCTGAACCCGAGATATAACGATTTGAAGAAGTATATGATTAGTCAGAACCATGACAAAATCAAATCTTTGACAGATCATATCTCCGACGAAAAAAATATATAAAAAATCCTCGAATACGTGTTAGCTTATTTGATGTATAAAACCTATAAAAAATTTTGAAGCCAATCGAAAGTGTAACACCACCGATATGAAAATAAATGTCTCATAGTTTAAAATAATGAAAATAAAGCTAAATAACACAAAAGTTACTTGTTTTTTATGTTTGCCCATATAGATAAGATTTTATATATAGACAAGCCCCGATTACGCTTTTATTACATAATATGTACGTATATAACGTGACTAGAGATACAGTCATATGAATCATAAACTATAATTAAATAATTTTGTCCAGTTAGCTTGTTCTAAACGAATCACTATATCATATTTGTGATGGTCATATTTAAAAACTACTCAGTTATTTATATTCATTACTTATCTATGCTGCGTATTGGTATTCATTACTTTGGGTGATCCGGTTTTACGAAATTTGGAAGCAAATAAAATTTCGAGTTTTAAAACTAAGCAAATACAGCTAAGCGACCGAATACATATTTATGTATACAAAAATATTTAATAATTAATGTTTGTTTAAAGTAACGGAGATTTGAAATGAACATCATTCTAACAGAAACAGAGACCGAAAAGAACAGTTATTTTTTTCAATGTTATAAGAGTCCCGGCAAAGTATTGTCGCAGATTTAGGTTACCAATGTTCATTTGACCACAGGACCTCCTGGACAGGAATCCTGCATGCTGGTTATTTTTCGAACTTTTTGGAAAAAATTTCAAAAATTACCAAAAAAAACCCTTGCTTTTATTCTTTAGTCCAGTAATAACAGTTAAACTTGGCCAAATATTTTTTAAGGCCTTACTGAAAGTCCTTTGCTAATAAATAAAAACCGCTTATCCAAATTAAACAAATTTGGCATCAAATGAAAGAGGACAGAAGTAGGTTACAAATAGAAATATCTAAATGAAGTTTTCCTCCCATGTATATGTATGTATAATATACATTGTACATATATATTTATTTAATTTAAAACAGTAGAAAATTATTCAGTTAGAAAGTTAGGTTCGTACGCTTTACATCAATCTGCCCATTTTATGTATTTCCATAAAAGCTGCATATGCAAAAATGAAGCCCCACGCCAACTCCTTAAAATTTGTTCCAAAAAATGTATGGGACTCTCCCACTGTGCGCCATCGAACGCTTTTTCTAACTCAATGTTAGTTGTAGAAATGTTTCGTTGGATGTGAAATGTTTG